CCCCCCGCCACTCCTGCTCCCGCAACTCAGCACCTTCTGCAGAAAGTTTACCTTGACCTTGTCTCATCCGTCAAAGGCTGGCCTTGGGGAGTGCAGGGCAACAGTAGAAGGACACCCAGTGTCCACATAGGGTGGCCAGTAGGGTTTAGCATGATACCACAGAGGTGGAGTGTGTGGGGTGGGGCTGAAGCCACAAAGTCCCTCCTGGCCCAAATATCCTCCACTACCCAGTTGCCTTTCTGGGAATTCCACCAGAAATGTACAGTCTCTGAGCGAAAGACACGTGGTAGGTGTGTGAGGAAAGTTTGTTGGATGACTAATAAATGGCAAAAGGAAAGAATGAGAGGAAGCAGGGGGAGGGAGGAGGGGTCCCCAACCTGTCACTGGCAGAAGCCTAGAGCAGGGACAGCTATACTGAGGGGGGCAGGGGATTAGATCTGGAGAGCGAGGGCTCAGCAGGGGCTCAGAGGTGGGTGGGGAACACAGCAGTCAAGGCGGGGTTCCATGGGTGTTAGGGGCATGTACCCACCACCTTCTTAATTCTGTCAGGGACAGCTCAAAGACCTGGTCCTCTTAACATTCCAGCACCTCTGCCATGCCACAGGGAGTCGTCATGGGGGGCCAGGGACCCCCACTGTGATGACCCTGCTTGTCTAGGATTCCAGCTCCTTCCTGGATGACCATGGTATTTTCAATACCCTCATATACATGTAAAGGTTGGACAGTGCATGAGGAAGACCGTAGAAGAACTGAGGCATTTGAGTTATGGTGTTGGAGAAGAATATTGAAAGTACAATGGATGGCCAGAAGAACAAACAGATCTGTGTTGGAAGAAGTGCAGCCAGAGTGCTCCTTAGAAGCTAGGATGGCAAAATCTCATCTCTCATATTTTAGATAATTGTTATCAGGAGGGGCATGTCCCTGGACAAGGACATCATGTTTGGTAAAGTGTGTGTGTGTGGGGTCAACAAGAAAGAGGAAGCATGTGAATGAGCGGGGTTGGCACCATGGCTACAACACTGGGCTCAAACTTAACAGCTGTCAGGATAGCACAGAACCAGGCAGTGTAGTGTTCTCTTGTACACAGCCACTGTGACTCAGAGACCCCAAACAACAACAACAAACCTGGATGGTGGTCATGCCGACCTCGCGCCCCACCAGGACCCCGCCATCCTCCAGCGTGGCGATTCCAGGTTCCTCCAGCTTCATGAAGTCGGCCACCAGGTGGGTGATGTCCAGCTGCCACTCAGGGCTCACCAGGTGGCTCAGCTGGCCCCAGGGGCCGGGGCCTTCAGACACGAACTGGGTGAGGACACGCACCGTGGCGTGTTGGTACTGCAGAGCACAGCCCCGGCGCCGCCGCTCCTCCTCGTCCTCGTCCTCGCTGTCACGAGTGGGCCTTGTGGGGAAGCAGAGGGAAACTCAGCCCCAGGAGGTGGGACCTGCACCTTCCATGGTAAGGCAGCATTCCAGCACGGAGGCCCTCGTGGGAGCAGCATCTACCATCCAGCAGCCAGGGGTCTTTGAATACACTCACTGTGTATTTGACTTAAGAGCGCTTCCTAGCTACACTGGAGTCCTGGTGTTGTGCTGTAGGACCGACACTGGACTGCTAACTGAATGGTCAGTGGTTTCAAACCCACCAGCAGCTCCTCGGAAACCCTACACAGGGTCTTGAGGGAACACAACAACAATGACACTTAGCTGCTCGTGTGTCGACTATTACCCATGTGTGGCTCTTTGCATTTTAATTTTAATGAATGACAATTCAACAAAATCCAAAATCTGACTCGTCAGTCACGTGAGCTGTTGGTATGTGCTCTGTTGCTGGTGGCTGCCATATTGGACCGGACAGTTCTAGAATCTCCCATTACCAAAGAATGTTCCATCGGATAGCGTTATATGAGGGGGCTTCAAAAAAAATTGTGGAAAAATTCCATTATCTTTTGATTCCAGTTTTCCTTGAAGGCCCTCTGTTACTTTCTTGAGAAGGGTTGCCCTATTGTGATCTCCTTCCATGTTGCTTGTTTCAGTGCGGTAACACGGTGAGGCAAAGCCATATTAGTCTCATGTTTAAATGAGATACAGATACCAGATACACAGAAGTCAGGAAGCTTGCCCATAGCAACAATTTGGTTAAGTGATATAGCCTGGATTTGAACTCCCCGAGTCTCAGTCTTACCTTCTTCAGGGATGTGGGACACACCCCTTCTCCTGGACACCTAGAACCACCCTGTCCTGAGGGGTGAGGGACAGGCCCTTTCTCCTAGCCATCCATGATGGCCAGGTGACCTGGAATTCTTCATGGACTTCTGGTGATTTCCCCCAATCTGGCCAGCCCTTCAAGTCTTTCCGATAGAAAATGAATTCAACACCCCAGTTCCCCTGTTCCTCTTCTTGAGGTGTTCTCGAGTTTGTCCCTTCAAATGAAGCCCCAAGTCCCTGACAGGAGGGTGCCAGGGGTCTCAGCTATGGCCTGTCACCTCATTAACAGACACTGACTTGGGGTCCATGGAGATTGTGGGCTCCTAAAAAGACGAAACACCTACATGTGACAACCTAGAACACACACAAGTGAATTTAGAGGGTCTGATTTGTTTTTGTTTGTGTCTACTGTTCTGTATAAGTGTGATTAAGTTTTATCCCATAATAGGATCTGCAAAGAGTTTTTCCAGCTTCTGTTGTTGTTGTTAACAGCTGTCAAGTTGGTTTCCACCCATAGTGACCCTGTATAGGGTTTCCAGGGCTGTAAATCTTTACGGGAGCAGAAGGCCTCATCTTTTTCCCGCAGGACCACTGCTAGTATTGAATTGCAAGCTTATAGATATTCACAAAACACCAAAGAGGAATTCGCCACTGCAACTGGAGAAAATCAACCAAGTCTCAAATTCCCTGAGAGCAGAGAGGTTAGAAAATGTATGATTTCCCTCGTGACGTTCTGAGCCACTTTCAGGGGTCACTGCAACAGAAAGTCAGTATCCACACAACTGGCCATTGAGCAGCCCATGTGTCTGCCCAGCTACCTACAGCCTTCCTCTCCTCAGAGGGTTCCTGCTAGGATGTGGACAGGCTAACTCACGGGAAACTACCAGTGCCTGCTATAAACCAGGTCCATGACTAGCTCCTTTGGCGTTATCATCAGCAAGGAAAACCTTCTTATCATGGTGCTGAGCATCTCCTGGAACCCCTGGGTGCTTAACAACAAGTTAGACACTCCAATAGTAGCTGGAAGCTTGGAGTTCATCCAGTGGTGCCTCAGAAGATAAGGTTTGGAGATGTGCATCTGAAAAGTCATCCACTGAGAACCCTGTGAGCACAGTTCTACTCTGACACACACAGGGCACCATGAGTGGGATCTACTTATGAAAAACCATCCACTGAGAACCCTGTGGAGCACAGTTCTCCTCTGACACACACGGGGGCACCATGAGTGGGATCTACTTATGAAAAATCATCCACTGAGAACCCTGTGGGCACAGTTCTACTCTGACACACACAGGGCACCATGAATGGAATCTACTTATGAAAAATCATCCACTGAGAACACTGTTGAGCACAGTTCTACCCTAACACACACGGGGCACCATGAGTGGAATCTACTTATG